TCAGCAGAGGTTAGGGGCGACTCGTCTTTGCCAGTTGCGGTTTGAGCCATGGTTCATGGTTTTACGTTTGGCAAGTACATGTCCGATGTCAGTTTAAAATCTGCTAATGGACCTGTCGGTTTTCTCATCCCATAAAGCAGTTAGCCTCGCTGTGGGTGATGGCGCGCTAGGTAACAGCAGACGATCGTGTCGTCAACCGCAATCAGCATGTGAAAAATCCTTTCGCCTGAAACTGCACTGCAACTTCGCTCTCTGCAGGTTCAAAAAATTCTAACGGTCGGCTCAGGACGCTGCAGTTCAGTTTCACATCTGTCGAAGTCTCCGTGTAAATATGGCACAAAACGTGAATCCCCATTCAGCCACAGAGCACAATAGCTCTATTAAAACCAACGACGATAGACTACGGCTTTCTAAAGATAACCACGCTGTCACCAAACGGTAAGATATTCGTTTGTGGGTTGGGTTTGATGAAGTTCAATGGGAGTCTTCACATATTGAAAGGGCCGTATCAGAAATGTTGTTCATTATTTTCTCTTTTAATTTATCAAAATTCCTGAAGTTAATACAAAATACGTTTCTGGGTAGTCTTAGATGCACTAATTATTGCATGATCAGTTGACAGTATAGTCTGTTAACCCCACTTCAATCAATCTCTTTTAATGAAAGTTACCCTCAATCAAGGATTTTAGGAGGAATAAATGATTATAGCTAGGTTTGCTTTCTCATTTCATAATCCCATCCTCATTTTTCAGGCTTCAGAAAGAGCTGATGTCTCTCATGGTATGTTTTTCTACCTCTGACTTATATTTCGACATTGTGCTATTTTGAAGTATTCATTCAATTTTTTCTTTTCAGACATGTGCCGAGAAAGGTGTTTCTGCATTTCCCGAAGGTGAAAATTTTTTCAAATGGGTTGGCACTATATCTGGACCAGTTGGCACGGTGAGATTTATTTTCTAAAGTATGCTTATAATTTACATGTGCCTTAAATTAATATTCTCAAAATCTTTTCTAGGTTTATGAAGGCTTAACCTATAAATTGAGCTTAGAATTTCCGAACAGTTACCCTTACTCTGCACCAGTAGTTCGTTTTACAACATCATGTTTCCATCCAAATGTAGACACAGCAGGTAATATTTGCCTGGATATCTTAAGAGAGAAGTGGTCTGCACTTTACGATGTTCGAACCATACTATTGTCCATTCAGTCCCTACTTGGAGGTGAGTTAATTCATCTTGATTGGATGGTTATTACAGGTCCTTTTTTTACAACAAATTAAAATTAATCCTTGCACTGTTTTCAGAGCCAAACATTAGCAGTCCTTTGAATCCTCAAGCATCACAAATGTGGGCCAACCAAGTACAATACAAGAAGCATCTGCATGAAACATATCACAAAGAAAATAGCAAAGAGAAGTAAGATGCACGTTTAGAGCTATTTACTGTTATTGAGCAGGTTTACTTTAGTAGGTGTGTGCTATGACGAGGTTCAACATCCAGATAAGATAAGAAATGGATGTACTGGTTTTGATTGTGTAAATTTTTTTTTTTGTACTGAGTCCCGTGGGATACTTGGGTACTTGTAAGTGTTCTAGCTGGACGTTAGATTTAGTCATTTCATTCCAAATTGACAATATGAGACTTAATCTAACCTCACGCCTTTGTCACACATCTTTGTACATATTCAAAATCTATCTCATTGTAAATTTAGAAGTGTAAATTTCTGTCATTATTACTTTTCCATAACCTATTTCCTTCCTTGTATGCTATTTTATGCTATTTGAAGTGTCAGCAAAGAATTTATTGCCTTTATGATTTTAATTTCATTTTACAAGTACAAATTAAGATTGCATCTTCATTTTATTTATTACTTTCAAGTTACCACAGTTCAGGGGACCACTGCAAATGCAAATATGATAATTCACTTTTAAACTTGTCTCTATCACTTGCAAATTTTAAAATATGTTCGATGTATTCTCTTTTCTCTTCTTATTTGATTCTATTAATATGCATGGCTTAAGTATTTGGTTTCTTCAATAATCAATAGACTGATCTCCCTATTATGATTGCTGGCTGGACTTTCTTTTAATGTCAATTCTATAAAATATTCAAAAGATGCATAGTTAGTCTTTTTGTTCAGCTGCTTCATAAAATTAATGTTTGTTTTTAAATCTTGTCTTCCTGGTGTCTTAGAATCTTTAGCACATTCAAGAACTTACTAGGTCGACCAGTCTAGTATCAATGCAACATTTCCGTTGTCAATGTGTGATAATTTTTTTTTATATGGAATTAGCTGTAGAAAGTGAGCTGAAATATCTGTACAGGAGTATACCTTTATGAATTATAAGAATTAAAGTAGCTGAATTTTGCTTTGATTCAGTTTCAGCTCCTCTTTTAGCACTGCCATAACTTACAACTGAAACCCAGTCTGAATGCATGCATGTATGTTTGTGTAGATGTTTGAATGAGCTTGTTTATATGTAGGAGGATATCAATTTAGTTGGAATTTACTATGGTTTTCAATGATTTTGTGTTTAAGCACTACACTTACCCCTTGAATTAGGTACAGTAAACATTCCTTTTACAGCAGTAATCATTTTGTAAAAGATATCCCTCCGTGATAAAATGGTTCTGTAAGGAGCTTAAGGATTATTCTTCCATTCAATTTTGTTTTGTTGAAATATGTGAAGTGTGATATCAATTCCTGTCTCAATATTATTAATTTTTGTGCTAGAACATGTAGGTAATAAATTTGTCAGATCAGATGAGTGTTATTCTAGGGAATATACCTTAGAATAAGATCTGTTTCTGTGAAGTATTAGTGTCTGAATGTAACCAATCCAAAGAAAACTAATTTGCTTGATCTAATTTTTGAAGTGTTTGTTTACTTTTGTACCTCCAGCCAATGTTTGATCAATGAAAATAGAAATAAATATATGTACGAAGTGAAGTTTTGATCTGTGTAGTGCTCCAAATGTAGGATGAGATCCAACAAAAGATTTTCCCTCCTAACTCGAATAGGATACAGTTGCCCAAAGCATCAGTGAGAATTGAATTAACCGAGCAAAAGCAAAGAGCCGATTTCCCTATCCACCTTGATCTGTATGCTCCGGGTGAATCAGAGCAAGCACCTCACTGGTTGCGGATTTGTTTGCATACCCTCTTGGACCACAAGGGGCCATGGCATTTTACGGATCGTCCATCTGTCGATAGCGTGCAACCTTTGTGCTGTGGAAGGTCGATGGCGCACAGTGGACAGAGCACGCGTACAACACGCACTCGATTATGCGGGGTGTACTTTCCAGCTAAGACAAAACCGACCATCTATCAAGATGAAAAGAAAACGAATTGGAACATGGAGAAAGGGTGGGGAGGGGGCGACAGTGTGCAACACCACCAGTGCGCGGTTCCGGCGGAGTCAAGTCTTTTTCTTGTGGATGTAGAGCTACAATACGTACTGAATCGACGGTAGCGCTGAGATAGCCGCCAGTTCGATCTTGAGGCTAGTGAGTGGGCGGGTGAGAGAAAGAGAGAGAGAGAGAGGGGGGGGGGCACGAGGAAGCACTCGCTCACATCACTCACATTGCCAACGCCAACTGCAGACTCAGCTGATAGTGAGTGACCGCCCCGTCCCGCACAGGCCGGGACAGTAGTGCGGACCGCGGACCCCCGCAGCAGCCGCGAGCGGACACTCGGAGCCCACCTACCTACCACCATGGGGCTGGTCTCGGAGGCGCTGTGGGGCTGCGCGGCCTGCTCGCTGGCCGTCTGGCTGGCGCTCGCCCTGGCGCGCTACGTGCGCTGGCGCCTGTACTGGCACCGCGCGCTCAGCCCCTTCCCGGGGCCCCGCGTGTCGCTGCCGCTCCTCGGCACCCTGCTCTACATCGTGGGGCCCATGTCCACGGTGCTGCGGCGCGGGCTGCGCCTCATGGAGCGCCACGGCAACGAGTACATCACCTTCTGGCTGGGCGAGCGGCCCTGGCTGCACATCATCCGGCCCGAGGACGTCGAGGGCCTCCT